CCATGTAATATTGTAGGCGCCATTCCTACAGGCATATATAAATTTAATTTTACATGCAAAGAATATCACATTATCAGTTGTCTGAGCAAGATCTCGAACACGGTAACAGATTAAGATACCAAACTTCTATGAGCAACAGACCCTAAGATGTAGACAAAACCATTTGAGTTCAGAGCATCAGTCGTCACTTCTGGTCGTCACAGGAAGTGATCAAAGAAATCGAAAATTTCAACTTTTCTTTTTTAATTAAAAATTGCATCACTTTATTGTATCTTTTTCGCAGATTCGAAAGATGTTGGTCCCACCGGAAACAAAAGCGACAACTTCCGGTTATAAGAGAAAAACTAAATAATTTGAATATTTTACTTTCCCATAAATATTCTTTATAGATTAAGTATTTGAAATGAATTTTAAATATGTTATTCAGAGTGCAAATGTCTAGGGTAACCTTAATTAGCGTTCAAAAATTCACTTCCGGTCGCGTGTTTTTCTGTCCTCAAAATGAGAAATTTTCTGAGCGAGATCTCAAAAGCAGGTAAAAGATTAAAAGACCAAACTTTTATGAGTAATAGACCTTGAGGAGTAGGCGAAACCATTTGGGTTAAACGCGTCAGTCGTCACTTCCGCTTGTCACAGGAAGTGATCAAAGAAATCCGTTGGATTTTAACACTGACGATCAGGATTAAATCTCCAGTGTCTGAATTTCTTTTATCACTTTTTTCAGCTTGAATTTTCGTTTTTATTTTCAGAATCGAACGGAAGACCTCTCATTGCTCGCAATGAGTTTCTAGTTATTATTATTATTACCGAACAAAGAGAGATTGAGTATTTCTTCTCGACTCTCTGGCTCAAATTTTGACTGAAATTCGCTATATGCGATAAGTTCTTTTTTATAAAAACTAGACATGTTATTTAAGGAAATTTGAGATAAATCCGAACAAGTGCATAAGTAATATTCTTAACTTGGGTGTATATCTTTACTTGAAGACCTTACTGTACAGCCTTTAGCTCTAGCCAGTTTATGTGTTTCTGTTGATACTGTTGGGGCCAGACCCCTGACGTCTCCCAGTTCTCCAGATGTGCTCCCCAACCCTGTTTATAGGTATAACTGTATGGGACGCATGTGTAACCTTCCCTTCGGAACAAGATAAATGCATGAAGCCATCAGTCCTAACAATTGAGAATCACTACTGCTTGAGTGTGTTGACTTATTGATAAAGTCTGCACAATGTCTAGAATACTCTGAAACCTGGATTCTGTGGGTGTTGCAATGCCCTCCCATGTGTACGAATTGCGCCCCGTTATTAGCAGACCTATTTTTGTATTTATATGAAGCAGAATTTATTCAAAGACTTCAACATGAGAAGAGGAAAACGCTTGCTGTGGCCTTCAACTCGACATTTAGATATACCGACGAAGTATTATCATTTAACAATTGTTACTTCCATTCATAGGTTCGATTCGATATATCCCAGTGGACTTGAAATAAAAGACACTACAGAGTCTGGTCTGACACATCTGTTTTATATTTGGATATTTTCTAGAAAAAGACGTTAATGGTAACCTAACAAGAAAATTTTATGATAAATGTGATGACTTAAACTTTTCTATCCTCAACTTCCCTTACTTATGCTGCAATATACCCTTATCACCAGTATATGGGGTTGATTCGATACTCGAGGGCATGCTCTACTTTCAATCAATTTTTAAATTTTTAAAACGAGGCAAGCTATTAACCAACAAGTTGATGAAACAGGGATATCAACAGCCCAGTTTGAGGTCATCATTTCGCAAGTTCTATGGTATACAATGACCTTATCAGCAAATACAATCCATCATTTGGTCAAATGCTGACTCACGTTTTTCATATTAATTGTTCAGCTGTTATTTACACACTGACTTGTCTACGGATTTTTCCGTTTTCCCGATCATGACAAGGAGCACACGGCGGGTGTTACCGGTCGACAGGGGGATGCTTACTCCTCCATGTCAGCAATTGCCACCTCTGATGTTTTTGGAGGTCTGTGTTTGCTCTGCTTTCGATATGTATTGTTTAAATGGACTATAAGCTTGAATACTGTTCGTTAACTCCATTTTTTATTTAAAAGATACTGGAGTTTCTCATTTACAATAATTATGTAGTCTCTGGGTACCTTTGGTCTGCCAACAATTTCGATGGGTACTAATTGTGATCCTTTTTAGCATAATTTATTGAAGACTCCTATACGAAAACTCTGGCTGTGACCTTTAACTCACACATTTAGATACAATGTGTATCGACATTTTTTTTCAATAATAATAGTCACTTTCATTTATATGTCAACTCCATTAATATCCAAGTGCAGTATAATTTAAAAAAAACACTACAAAGTCTGTCTTATCTGTTTCATATTTGGATGTTTTAATGTCAATAGAAAATAATGGCCACTAAATAAGTAAACTATTTTACAAACCGGATGACTTCAGATTTCCAATATCAACTCCCCATATTTATATAGTAATATTCAAAGCGTCAGCTTCATACGGTGTTTATGTCTCCCAGCTGATTCGATACGCAAGAGCGTACTATGAGTACGATCAATTCAAAGGTGGTCCAATATACCTGTGAATACGATACTTGGCGTACTAATGCCACATGATATTTGTTTCAGTTATTAATTCCAACTAATCTCCTTAACTTTAATCTTTGCTTTTCTAACTTTGAAGTTAGCTAACTTTTATCTTTGCTTTTCCAACTTTGAAGTTACCTTTTCATACGTTTAAGTCAGCATTTCCTACTTGTGTCACGGCTTCGTAAATTCTTTGTTTGTTTGTTTGTTGTTTTTTTTTTTTTTTTTTTTTTTTGCTAACTTCTACATGTCATTTGTAAGGCCTTTGTTTTTGGCTTACCTGAGCTGAAAGCTCAGGTGTGCTTTTCTGATCACATTTTGTCTGAAGTCTGTCTGTAAACTTTTCACATTCAGAACCACTGGGCCAATTTCAATCAAACTTGTCATAAAGCATCCTTGGGTGAAGGGTATTCAAATTTGTTCAAATGAAGGGTCACAGCCTCGTTGAAGGGGAGATAATTCAGAAATGGAGAAAATTTGGTGGCATGATTTAAAAATCTTCTCAAGAACCACTTGGCCAAAAAAGTAGAAACTTATAGGAAACCTTCTTTACTTAATGTTCAAGTTTGTCCAAATAATGACCCTTGGGGTAGGGTGGGGCCACAGTGGGGAATCAAAATTTTACATAGGAATATAAAGGAAAAAATCTTTAAAAATTTTCTCAAGAACAGTAAAGCCATGATAAGTGATTTTGATATGGAAGCATCAACAAGTAGTGTAGATTCAAGTTTGTTCAAATCATGATCCCTGTGGCTACGTAGGGTGGGCCACAATGAGGGATCAAAATATTTTACATAGGAATATATAGGAGTAAATCTTCTCTAGAACATGTTTAGTCATATTGATATGGAAGCATCCTCAGGTAGTGTAGATTCAATTTTCTTCAAATGATGACCCCGGGGGTAGAGAGGGGCTACAATGGGGGATCAAATTTTTACAAATGAATATATATGAAAAAAATCTTCAAGAACAGCAGAACTGCTTGTTATATTGATATGGAAGCATTCTTAGGTAGTTTTAAAATCAAGTCCCTCCCCCCTTCCCATCCATGTAGACTTTTCAATACTACTTGACTGATTAGTGTTTTTCCCTAGCCAATGAGCTCAGGTGAGCGATGTGGCCCATGGGCTTCTTGTTATACTTAATTTGGCTACTGAATGTTCCTTTCACCTGATCAATACCTAGGGTTCACGACGGTTGTGACCTGGCAACAAGGGATGCTTACTCTTCTTAGGCATCTAATCCCACTTCTTGAATTTAAACAGTGCATAAAATTAAACTGATAAAAAATTGTTTGTTTGCATTAAAAAGAATAATAATTGACGCTTCATTCGAAGATCGAACAAAAAACTTCTCGATTCCAGAGTACTAGTGCTTTGGACAGGTAACGCAAGTTATGAACAGGGGTGCATCTTCCAAAATTATGAATTCCATTGCTCCTAGGCCTGGATCAGGCGTTCTGAAAGTACCATGGGGCTCTATTGATTATATAGTGAAAATGGTTAAATCTTTGAACATCTTCTCTCTTCCTTGGTATTTAGCCGATAAACTTGCTGCGTAGTTGTGATGACCGAGTATGCTCCTTCCAAAATTGTGAAATTCGTGGCCCCAGGGTCAGGGATTCTGGTGTTAAGGTGGGGGGGGGGGTCTATTGATTATATCGTGGAAATCTTTTATTTCCTTGATTTTTTCCTCTTCTCCTGGGTCTTCAGTAAGAAAACAATATGCATGGAAAAGGGGGCATATTGCTTTCATCTGTCGGTTAGTAGAAAAGTGTTGTCCATCCAATTTTAAAGATGAAGGATAAAACAAAATATTGACACTAGACTTAAAAAGACATTTTGTTGGCTCAATATCTTTAAAACCTTTGCTATTTAGTACACTGGTGTCCTCTTAGAAGTCCATGTCAATTTCCCCTAATGATACTTTCTATTACGTTTGCTTCTGACTAGCAGATCACCGATATTTTTTTTCACTTTCATTACAGGCATTCTTAATAGATCTTGCCGTTATTTCATTGCATTTATGTCTTTAGGAATGTCTATAAATGTACTTTTAAAATTTCATTATATGTTCCTATTCTATGTGACGGTCATTTCATTTATATTTCAAAAGTACAAATTTGAGTTATTGAAGAATACCATGAGGTGAAAATTGCCACATAGACTTCGTCACACTCAAAAAAATATTGATTTCTCAATCGTACAATAAATCCATATGATCTCTTATGTATACTTATGTTAAAATATATATATGAGGATACCAGTTTAATCAAGATTAGATACAGTACTTTTGGGATTTCTTTTAATCAAACACGTCGGTTATCACCTTGTTTTACTAACAAAAATTTACCAAGTATGTATTACTTAATTTATTGCATTCTATTTTCAGTTTACGCTACACACATTTCAAAAATACCTGGTGCGTATTTCCATCGTCAGACATGAAAGAGATGATGAGGTCTCTGTTGTCGAGTTTCCTATTCGGGCCACAACTTTCATAGCAGTCACCGCCTACAACAATAGAGAAGTGACCAAGCTTAAGATTAATAGTAACCCCTATTCGAAGGGATTTCGTTTTCCTGTGAAAAGGTCATTGCATAAATATCCTTTGAATTTTTCTTTAGATTCTCGATCTATTTTTTTAAGTGCACATATCTATTTAATATAGTATTCAGGAGACAATATGATTTTAGTTGACGTATAATCAGGGGAAAAACTTTAAATTTTAGACTGAAAAATCACGCCTTTGAACATTTGGATGCTAAAGAACTAAGAATGGTGACACTTGAGGATTCAATGAAAAGCTCAGTGTATAATCACCTAGGAAAGGAGATTCCGGCTTTTCCACAGTGAGTGTCCTTTTTTGAAAATTTATGTAATTAGTCAAAAAGTTGATAACTCTCATTGTTTACTTTTCTTTTTACGATGAACATCCTTCTACAAAAAAGTTAACTTCTAAATTTCTTACGTACAGTAGACCTGAAATATTTTTAATATGAATCAATTACTTTTGTAATATTTTTCAGTAAACCAAAATGTAACTATTTCAAAAGTTTGAAACATTTGTAAGCCTTGTATAACAGGAAAATTTCAATTGAAATTACCATTTAATTGGATACACGGGGTTTAGATCACTTAGGTCATTCCGTCGTGCATGATTCATAAACTGTTGAATATTTCGACTTATGCTATTGCTGTATGGACATTTTTTAGGATTCGAATTCAGGCCGAAAAGACTTTACGTCTTTGAAAATCTTTTCCTTTAGCAGGAAAACTATCATGTCCTGTGTTTTTTCCTATGTATTTTACCTTGATTATATATATATATATATAGAGAGAGAGAGAGAGAGATAGATATATACATGTCATTTATGTCTTTTATTAAAGACTTTCTATCCCAAGGAAGGAAACTTTTAAGATTGGAGGCTGTTGAAAATAATCCAGGACATTTTGATTCTGTTATTCATATGACTTTCACAGCGTCAAGTCTGGTCCTCATGAAAGAGTAAACTCCATGCCACTAAGTTCTGAGCTTGTCATATGAGAGATTATTAATACAGCACTCGGGTGTTTAATCAGTTTTTAAGCAAAAGAAGTATAACGTTAGGGATTTCTCCTATTATTTCTTAGACAAATTATTTTCAAATCTACTGCTATACGACACCCCCTCACATTCCACAAATAAGGTGGTTTTAATTCAGCAAACATGTAGGCTAAACGTCAAACGAATTATTTTGTGATAAATAAAATTCAACAACTACGATATCTATGAAACGTAAAATCAAAGAAAATCTTATGAAGGAAAATTATTTTGGCATCATTTATTAACCTATGGGTATTCCTATAGAAAAGGGCATTAACTACATAAATTCATCCTTTGTTTTGCTGAAGTTATAAATAAGCTTTTCATGATAATGTAATCTTATTGCAACATTTTTGATGCAGTTTAACAAATAATTACTTCACATAGATACATGTAATGTTCATTTTGAAAAGGATGTTTTAAACTTAATTTCATACTGCTATCTGTTTCTGTCCGTCGTTATGCGTTAACATTTTATTATTTCAGGATCTTCTCTAGAACTGCTGAACAAATTACAACCAAATTTGGCATATAGGATCTTTGGGCAAAAATAAATAAAATAGTAATTTTCATGTTTTCTCCCCCCCCCCTTTTGAACCCGAGGGATGGGACAAAAACCATCACAACTGATCCTATAATCTTCTCTACTCCTGGACATCAAGCACTCAAATTGTTGGCTTGATTATTTTAAGCATTTGAGCCTTCTACTAAAATTGAACCGGTCACGGTAGCCTAGTGGTAAGGCGCTCGCTTCGTAATCGGGAGGCCAAGATTCGATTCTTGTTTGCCGCACCTTGTCACCTAAGTAGTGACTGTTCCTTCGCCAAGCTCCCGGCACTAGAAGTGAAAGGTAGGTTTTTCGGATGAGACTTTAAAAACCGAGGTCCCGTGTCACGGTAGGCGTTGGCACGATAAAGAACCCTCACTGCTCAATGGCCCTGAGTTCCAGTAAAGGTCTAAATTTGAAGCCCTTCACCGGCATACGGTGACGTCTCTATGTGAGTGTAAAATTCTCGAATGCGACGTTCAACAATCAATCAATCTACTGAAATTGTGAACTCATGATTTCATTGTCGGGGGTTACGATGTTCGGGGAGGTAGGCTATTGACCATTTAGTGAAAATGCATAAATTGTAAATCTTCTTTCCACCTTTATATTTAGCAGACAAATTAAGTTCATAGACATGATGAGCAAGAGTAAATTTTTAAATTAATGGAACCTGGGTCAAGGGTTCTGGTAAGGTAGTGAAAATGCATTTATTCCCTGAATCTTCTTCTCTGCGATTGGTATTTAGCGGACTTAGGGCATGATTATGATGATCGGGAGGTCGTGAGTTCGAATCTCGGCCGCGACTGACCTAAGTCGATAAAAAATGGGTAGCAACTGTTCCTTCGCCATGCGCTCGGCACTTTGAAGTGAAAGTTAGGGTCCTTCGGATGAGACCTTAAAAACCGAGGCCCCAGTTATATACCGGGGTATATATATATATATATATATATATATATATATATATATATATATATATATATATATATATATATATATATATATATTCTATTTTTGAGTCTTTTTAGTTATACATGGCTTCTAAGTTTCGAGTGCAGGTGCTGTGTCATTTCCTTTTTATTGTGATTACACTAGTATAGTAGAGCTGTTTTGTGTGGTTGTTTTATGATCATGCACATGTATAAGGAAAATATCAAAACATTAACTAACTTTTAATCTCATTTTAGATTTCCATTAGATTTATCCATCAACAAAGACAATCACAAAGCAAGTGAGTCAAAAACTTAAAAAATAAATAGTTTTCTTGACATTAAAATGGAAATTAAATAAAGTACAAGACTCCTAATTACAATTTTGCTTCATAAATCGGTGATTTAATTACAGACCAATTTTTTTTTTACAGATCATGATTCTGGGTCTGAAGACAGACCTGCAAATGATAAAGAAATACAAACTGATATTACAATGGCAGATATGAATTCTTTTTGCTGCCTCCTAGCATATAAGCAGAACCATACCTTCATCTATCGGGGTATGTTATTCACGTTCTTTACAGGATACATAAACTTATTACACATTATAAATATATATATATATTTGTTGATACCATTAGGGCGGAATGACTTCAGTCTCTGCATCCAGAACTTTTCCTTGCTTTTTCTCTGAGCATCGGTCCAATTCGGATTATGGTCAATAACCACTACTGTCATGTCCTCCCATTTGTGACCTTCACGATTTAAATGTTCCCTAACGGGTTCATTGAGTTTCTTGGTCTTAATGGTCGAACGGTGATTATTGATTCTCCTGCGGAGATCTCCCGTTTCCCCAAACATACTGTTTGGAACAAACTTTACAACTAATGAGATATATGCAGTTGTCTGTTTGACAGGACAAATTCCCTAGAATTCTGAAGCTGCGGCCTGTCTTTGTCAGAGCTGTGCTTAAAGAGAAGACATCTTCTGTCAGAGCAAGCTCTAAAGCCTCCGTAAGATAATGAATTGTCCAATCTGGTTCTTACTACCATGTCCTTTAAGTTCCTCGGGCGCCTGTATGCAGCCAAAGGAGGTTCCTTAAAGACATCTGCCATTCTTTTGTTAGAGTGGAGAATTGGCAGGTTCTTTTTAAGAATACCGCTGAGATTCTTAAGGACGGGATGTATGTGGTTACCAGATCGAGGGACCCTGCTGCTATTTTCTTTCTCTTGTAGAGGAACAGGTTTTGTCTGTCGTGTCCTGCCTTATCATCAATAACAGTTTGTACGTTGTGGGCTTTGTAGCCTCTATTGCATAAATGGAACTTTAAGAGACAGCTCTGTTCCTGATATAAGGCAGGGGATGAACAAATGCGACGAATTCTGGTAGACAGACCCTTAGGCACATCCTTAAATGTGTGTGGGGAAGACAGCTAGTCGGCATGAGATACAGGTGGGTTTCGTGTGGAGACTAAACTCAATTTCGCCATCAATCAGAATAGATGTAGTATCTAAGAATATGTTTTTGGAATTAGATACGTCTACAGTAAATCTGATAGACTGATGGAAGGTGTTGGCAAACGAAATGAATGCATCCAGGCTCTCGCGGCATTCCACCCACTTCATCTCTATATATGAAACGCAACCAGCCAAGGGCTTGAAGTAACAAGTTGCGTTCAAGTCTGCCCATGAAAATATTAGCATAAGATTGGGCCATTCTCGTGCCCATACAGTGCCATTAACCTGCAGGTAATGTTCCCCATTGAACATGAAATTGTTACATTTGAGAACATGTACAAGGAGCTTAGCAAAGGACTCAGTGGGAGGAGTTTGTATTGATCTGCTGTTCCAGACTTCTCTACAGCCCTCGTCGTGCGGAATGTTGGTGTACAAAGATGTATCGTCCATAGTCACGAGAAGGGTATGATCTGGAAGACCAGCCGAGAGCGTCTTGTTGATATAGTCTGTGGTGTCCTTTAGATAGGATGGCAAATTTGCTACATGTGGACGGAGATGCAAATCAATGTACTCAAGAAATTTTCTCCGTTGGGTGTCTGATTGCACTAACTAGAAGGCGACCTGGCATACCTTCTTTATGTATCTTAGGAAGCAGGTAAAATTGTCCTGGTCTACAGTCAATAGGATTGAGTGTCTCATAGACGTTTATACCAATCTCGTTATTTTCAAACATTTCGTCAAGAGTTTTGGTGATAGCGGTGGAGAATTTTTTAGTAGGGTCATGCATGCAGAGTCAAGTTCCTTATAGAAACGTTCGTCTGAGAGTTGTCAATGGGCTTCCGCCATGTACATCTCTTTGTCAAGTACTACTACTGTAGAGCCTTTGTCTGCTTTCTTGATCACGATGTCATCCGGATTCTTTAATGATTGTTTTAATGAATGTATCACCTGTGACAAAACCTTTCCAAATGTACTATATTTTTTTTACTTCTTGACCTTGAAGTTTGAATTTTATCTTTGCTTATAACTCTGTTTTGTAAAAGATAGGGCTTTCGTATTTGACATGTGCATTACCTGTGACAAGACCTTTTAAATATATTATGATTTTTTACCTTTTACCTTGAAGTTTGATTTACCTTTCAAAAATTTTAATATTACTTTAAATTGGTCATAAAATTTTAATGAGAAAAATAAGACTTTCATACTATATATGTAAATTACCTGTGACAAGACCTTTCCAAATATACTATGGTTTTTGATCCCGTGACCTTGACGTTTAATTAACATCAAATATTTTATCTTTTCTTTTAACCTTTGATTGAGAATAGATAGAGCTTTCATATTTGACATGTGCATTATCTGTTACAGGATGTTTCTCTGCATGCTATAATTTTTGACCCCTTTACCTTGTCCTTCAAGTTTGACCTAATTTTCAAAAATTTTAACTTTGGTGATTACTTTTGAATGATATATAATAGGGCGTTCATATTTCACAAGTGTATTTCCTGTGTCAAGATGTTTCTAAATGTGCTGTGATTTTTGATCCCGTGACCTTGACCCTCAAGTTTTAAAACGACATTTTTCAAACATTTTATCAGGTTGTCGATTCGATATATCCTGGTGAGCTTGAGATAAAAGATACCACAGAGTCTGACACATCTGTTTCATATTTGGATATTTTACTTGAAAAAGACGTTAATGGTAATCTAACAAACAAGCTTTATGATAAACGTGATGACTTTAACTTTTCAATCGTCAACTTCCCTTACTTATGAGGCAAAATACCTTCCTCACCTGCATACGGGGTATATATCTCTCAGTTGATTCGATACGCAAGAGCATGCTCTACGTATGTACAATTTCTAAAACGAGGTAAATTATTGACAAACAAGTTGATGAAACAAGAATATCAGCTGTCTCGTTTAAAGTCATCATTTCGTAAGTTCTATGATCGATACAATGACCTTGTCAGCAAATACAATTTATCATTGAGTCAAATGCTGACTGACGTTTTTCATACTAATTGTTAGGCCATTATTTACACACTGAATTGTCGACGGATTTTTCCGTTATTTCCCGATCATGACAAGGAGCACACGGCGAGTGTGACCGGTCGGCAGAGGATGCTCACTCCTCCATGGCACCTGATCCCCCCTCTGATGGTTAGAGGTCCGTGTTTGCTATGCTCCTATTTTGTATTGTTTAATGGACTTTTGAGCTTGAATACTGTTCGTTATCTCCATATATTTCATTTGCTAACTTTTGAAGGAGCGAAGATGGGGCATTCATATTTGACACGTGCATTAGCTGTGACAAGCATTTCCAAATGTACTATGATTTTAAACGCCATTTCCTTGGAGTTTGACCCAATTTTCAAAACTTTTAATTTTGCTGATAACTTTTGATTGAGAGAAGATTTACATTTGACATGTGCATTACCTGTGACAAGACCTTTTGGTTTGTATTATGATATTTGACCTCATGACCTTGATCTTGAAGTTTAATGTAGTTTTGAGAAGCTATAATCTTTGCCATATCTATTATTAATGCAATAAATATGTCTTTTTGTATAATGCATAGATAAGACAGGACACACACACAAAACAGTTACAATATGCCATTAATGATGGCATCCAATCCATTATGATACCGAAAGCGGGGACCACACTTCTTTGAATTTGCTTGTTTGAAAAAAAGATGCATCTGTTGTTCGGTCCGTAGACCAAGTTTTAACATCTCAGTTTTTCAGATATAAATATTGCCATACTAGTTACCCACTGGAAGTTCATTTTGAGGTCACAACGTCAATGGCCAAGTGTCACACTCCTAGACCAAGTGTTGTCTGTTCAATATCTTGAGAACCATTTGGTTGATAGACATCAAATGTGAAATGTGAAGTAAATGGTCCCAAATGATTTGGAGGTCACAAGGTCAAAGTTTAAGGCTGGAAATATAAAAAATATGGCCGCTTTACATCTTTAGATTCTTTGCTTGACAGACATCAAACTTGGTACACAAGTTTCCCATTAAGAAGATGGCGACTGTAGATTTTTATGTCACAAGTTGGAGGGTCAAACTAATATAGACATAAAAAAGATTTTGTACGCTGAATATTTTGAGAAATCTTTGTTTGACAGATATAAACTTGGTGCATTGATTCCCCACAAGGATACGGTATTACCTATTGATTACAGGTCGAAAGATCGATTGTCAAACTAGACATAGAATGATTTTGACCACTCGATATCTTGAAAAATCTTTGCTTGATAGACATCAAATTTGGTACACTGGTACCCTCAAAGAAGTAAATTACCACTTGATATATTGAGATCTAATAGATATCAAATTTATTATGTTTGCCCATGACTAGAAGTTAACCAATATTTCTTCACTATTAATCTTAACAGACATCTGATCATTGAATTTAAAGTTGTCCCATTTTCATATTACCTTTAGAAAATACGTATATGTTTCTCGAACATTTCTGATTTTTTCACTATGAAATTTTCCTTTAAGATTCAAACCCAGAGAGACAGACTGATATGACTATGCCGGCGTTCTACAACTTCTACCCACAATTACTGAGAGGTCCATGGGAGCAAGGTAACAAAAGACATTTGAAATTATTTTGAATTTTCTTTATTTGGAAAAAAATATGCTAAACTCTGTGAAGCTCACTGATAATGTTTAGGAATGGCAATCGGATATATATTTTTTGAAACCGATTAGTCGTAAATTTTTCCGAGCAAGTAACCAGTTTATCGTGCAAATAGGAATACTTCGCAAATTCTTTTAAAATTGTTCAAATTATATTCTTGAAAAGCAAGCTAGTATGATATAATAATTAGATTTCTCTAGT